CCTCGAGGAGCTGTTCTTCCTCCAAGGCTGTCGATCACGACTTAGTCTCGTCCTCCTCCTCTCCTCTGCATTCACCTCGGAGCCGAAGGAAGGCGTCGATTCAGCCTCCAACAGCTGCAGCAATTTCTTCTCCTCCTCGGCCTTGAGGGAGCGGATCTCATTCAAGTTCTTCTTCACATCCTCGATGTTGCTCTCCCCGTTGGCTACCTTTGATTCAGACGCTCCCATTCTCCTAGCCTCAGTGGAGGGGCGAGCAAGAGCAAGAGCAGGTCACAGGTGGTCACGAATCTTGAGGCGTGCAGCAGGCGGTCGATGCTTTATGCAAGGATCGCCAACATCATCTGCGCGGGTACGTCAGGTCCGCACAGCATGGCATGAGCGAAGCTGATCAAGATTGTTCAATGCACCTAGATGCTGGTGCTCTAGTTCTCCTCACACTGCGATTGTAACCCTTTCTCCTTTGCCCTCTTCTCGTGTCGCAGTCATCGGGTTATGAAGGCGCTAAGCGTTACAACACTATCATCCTTAAGTTCATCCATCCTCCTAGTCTTGCTGCTCCTCTGCTCTCCTCCTCCATCTCATCTCTCCTTTCCTCCTCCTCCTTTCCCTACCCCATGCCTCGCCTGTTGGCGCCGCGTCATGCAAGGACCTCATCCCCACACTGACAACAATGCATTGTAAATTGTAAAATGATTAATATTGTTTTACTGATCCATCCTGGTACTTTTGAAAGTACTAAATTTGTACCAAACTTATTTTAAAATAATTTTATTATAGACAGTAAACTTTTACGCGATCAAGCGGCTCTTCAGTTAGGTCACTTTTCCTTTAATTTAACACGAATGCGTTTAAATTAACATACTTATGGTTAAATGTACCCCTACCCTCCTATGTACATTTTGTTTAGCAAGGGGGTAGGGTTGTGGACTTTAAAGAATCTGGCTAAAGGCGGAGATCCCAAAATCAACTACTATGTCCAGGTGAAGGATGGTGGAGGAGAGGAGGAGAGGACAAGGAGGATGAGGAGGAAGAAGTGTCAACAGCGAAATATCACGAAGTTGAGGATGAGAAAGAGGACGAAGAGAATGATGTGAGGAAAGGATGCTTTCTTGAGCGACTCTGGAAGGAACGGAGAAGTGGTTTACCGTATTCAGTGTGTACATGAGACAGGTAGACAGTTGTCAGGTTGAATCAAGGACCAGCACATGTGTAGGGATTGTGATTCAAAGCCGGGTGGTGGGAGTGTGCGAGAGGAGGCAGCCATAGATCAGGCTGGGAGCTGGGGCTCGTTTCTTGCAGGGCAAACAGGGTAGCCTCTGATGGACTTTGGTGGTCAACAACAGGAAGAACCCTGTGACGTCATTCGTGGAGAAGCCTTCCATCGACTCCTTCCTTGAGATCGGTCTTGATCCTCTCAGGCATGACCCGCCCGGAGCACCCAAGAGGAGGAGAGAAGTGAGCATCGCTGCAGGTTTGACCTGATCCACTGCAGCCCCCTGAACCTCCCCGTCTCCTCCTCGTCCCCTTGTGCGAGGGCTGCTCTTGGGCTGCTGTGAAGCATGCCGCAGGTCCTCCCAGCTGGCTTCCCCGCTCCCTCCTACCCCTCGATGGCCCGAGCCTCGCTCTCCAGGGGAAGGACCCCTGGGCCAAGACGACCGTGCGGGAGAGCAGCAACGAATGGTACGAGACCCCCGTGCAGGTCGCTCAGACGTTTGTGGACTGCGGTATCTACGCGATCCCGGGTGAGGAGGACGAGAGGAGGGAGGGAGACGGAGAGCTGAGAGGAGAGCGGGGCAGGGGTCGTGGGAGGGATCGCCATCGTTGACAGCATGGTTGCCGACCCCGAGAACGAGCCGGAAGGGGTGCCTCACTACTACGGCATGCAGACCAACTACGTGTAAGGTAAGGAGGAGGAGGTGGTGGTAAAGTGGAGATGCTGGAGAAGAGACGGCTCTCAGTGCTTGCCAGGCCTTCACTCTAGCGAGCGGACAGCAGAGATCTCCTCGCTCAGCTGCCTTTGCGCCTCCTGCGAGGAGAGCGTCACGAGGAGCAGGGGGGCGCTCTCGACCTGTAACATCCTACCTTCCTATCGTAGAAATCTCTCTGATCGACCCTGCAATGAACAAGGAATGAGAAACGGCTGTCCTCCTCTAGCACGCTCTTCTCACCTCTCCATCTTCTCTCGCTGACTCGCTGCAGCCCTGTGCTTCACGTTAAAACTCCCGGGCGGGGCCTTCAGCGTCGCCCCGCTGACACGCAGACTCGTCAAGCTCGTCACAGGCGGAAGGGGACTCGCACCTTCCGTCGAGGGAAGCGTATTCCGGCTGGAGGGGGTCGAGGTGCCGGGTCGGTCGGTTGTGCATTGTCGTGTATCTCGGTCGCCCTTCGACCTCGCCCGCGATGTCGCTGACCTGATTGCTGGGAACCGACGGCGGGTCATTTCGGACAGGCAGGAGAGGAGGGAGGAGGAGGAGGGAGGAGGAGGAGGGAGGAGGAGGAG